CCAATGCTGCTGTGGTACTCTCCGCTGTTAAGGTACACTACAAATAAGTGTTCATGTCCTCACTGAGAGTCCCTGAGTACTTGTATGTTACTTCATGATTCATTGATATGTAGCTTTTGTAATTTTACGCGTATACCCGCGGCACCGTCCTTGCGGACTTAATCATTAGCTTAGGTTAGGTAATCTTCCAGACTTTGTTCTACATCTATGCCAAATTTAAGCGAGATCACTTCAGCAGTTCTAGGAATACCTTCAAACATCCATACTAACATTCGCATTTATAATACTAGTAAAGTTATGGAAACTTAGTTTAGCTAATGTTACTACAAGTATTAAATGTAAAATTGCTCCGCCAACTCATACGTAAAATAATTTTCGCATCATTTACAAAATAGCGTTAAATAAAGTTGTCGCTATATAGGTGCTGATGAAGCTGATGGAGATGGTGTCAGAGGACACTGAACTGGTGGGCACACTGTCGCGCAAGCTGGCGCCCCCGCTGGTGACGCTGCTGAGTGCGGAGCCCGAGGTGCAGTACGTGGCGCTCCGTAACATCAACCTCGTGGTGCAGAAGCGCCCCGACATACTCAAACATGAAATGAAGGTATTATAGGAGTCATACATAATATGACATTCAAATAGTGGTGATTTTTATACCCAATTGACAAAGAGGGTTATGTTTTTTCTCGCTTATGTAACTTTATTTTTCTTCTTCTTACTGGCCTTCTTCCCCGGACTGTCATAGAGTATTTTACATAGGAACAGAACACATAGTGGACACCAGATAAAATTATAAGAAAAATTTAAAAAGAATGAGTTTTTTTTATTGCTAAATCTTATTTTGAAATATATATTAAAATAAGAAAGTATTACACGTAACAATACAATTTATTTAGTTTTAATTTTAAAATATTTATTTAAATACGCAGACAAGAGATGGCGCTATTTCATCTATTAGAGCCTCAGTCAGTCGGGTTTATAGTTTTTTTTTTATAAATTAGTGTTAGGTTATTTAATAAGTATTATTTGTGCAGGTGTTCTTCGTGAAGTACAACGATCCAATCTACGTGAAACTGGAGAAGCTGGACATCATGATCAGACTGGCCTCGCAGGCAAACATCGCGCAGGTGCTCGGAGAACTCAAGGAGTACGCTACCGAGGTCGATGTTGACTTTGTAAGGAAGGCCGTGCGCGCTATAGGCAGGTGTGCTATCAAGGTATGTCACTGAAAATTGGAAAATTTATTTGAAATTAATTAATTAAATAAACACGACTAGACGTGTGTAGCTCTGAACCGGTTCAAAAGTTCAGGTTAAATAGACTTTAATCGTTAAGCTATGCCTCAACAACTAAATTATCAGCTCTCGGCTCGTTACGATATACTATAACTGTTGGCAGATACACCGCGAACTAACTGGTGACTAAAAGATCGCAGCTAGAAATACAAATCATAAGTCTATGAAGCTTCAAATTGAGCAGATCTGCAGGTCATCAAATTTAGTTCAGTTACTCATGACTAAAACCGATTGAACCAGGTTGAACCATCAGCGGAGCGCTGCGTGTCGACGTTGTTGGAGCTGATCCAGACCAAGGTGAACTATGTGGTGCAGGAGGCCATCGTCGTGATCAAGGACATCTTCCGCAAGTACCCCAATAAGTATGAGAGCATCATCAGCACGCTTTGCGAGAATCTGGACACGCTGGATGAACCTGAAGCCAGGGCATCCATGGTAAGTAATTTTATATTAAAATGTCTGCACATGTGGCCAGTTAAAAAATCAAAAAGTATAAAATTTAAATGTAAAAGCTTTTTTTTATAATAATTTTTGAGTTCCATGTACTTCAAAATGTTTATGTGAATAATAAATGGAATTTAGTTGTGATATATTTGTAATAGTAATAAACATGCAGGTGTGGATAGTGGGAGAGTACGCGGAGCGCATTGACAACGCTGACGAGCTTCTCGACTCCTTCCTAGAAGGATTCCACGATGAAAATGCACAGGTATGCAAGAAGTTCTTACTTATAATCAACTACCATAGACAAAAAACCAAAATCTTCCAAAATTGATGAACATTATATTAAAAAATAGCTGCTATTGTGTTCAGGTGCAACTGCAATTGTTGACGGCGGTGGTGAAGCTGTTCCTGAAGCGGCCGGCCGACACGCAGGAGCTGGTGCAGCACGTACTCAGCCTCGCCACGCAAGACTCAGACAACCCAGACCTCAGGTACACAGCCTTCCCTGGACATCTAAAAACCTTAGCAAATTCACTTATGGGGCAAATTATTAAACTATAAAATACCCAATATTTAAGCCTCTTCTCATACTTCAACTGTTATTGTTAAGGTCAGATAGTATTTATGCAGCCGAATTAGAAAATGTGTTGTGTATTAGGGACCGCGGCTTCATCTACTGGCGGCTGCTGTCGACGGACCCCGCGGCTGCCAAGGAGGTGGTGCTGGCCGACAAGCCGCTCATCTCCGAGGAGACAGACCTGCTGGAGCCCACACTGTTGGACGAGCTCATCTGCCACATCGCCTCGCTCGCCTCCGTCTACCACAAGCCGCCCACTGCATTCGTTGAAGGTACAACTTATATTTATCATTAATGCATCCCCAACAGCACTGATGAAAAAAGATCTAGATGTCTGATCTAAGCCTATTTTGTGATCTTCTATCGATCTCTTTTTTATTATATTCTATATGTATCCTTGATATGTGGTCAGTTGTTATTATTTGTTATTACGGATTTTTTTATGGAAGACATTTTTTTGTTAATACGTTTGTAGTAAACATATTTAAATTTATAATTATTATTCAATAAACAACGTGTGTCAGGTCGCGGCGCGGGCGTGCGCAAGTCGCTGCCATCGCGCGGCGCAGTCTCCGAAGAGGCTTTGCCGCAACAACCTACTGTCATACCTAACCAGGTGAAGTATTTCTTAATGCCCTTAAGTGTATATCTTAGCAATACTGTCTTTTTACATAATAGATAAATGCAAGAATAAAAATAATTTGGTGTATGATTGTGTGCAGGAGTCTCTGATCGGCGACCTCCTGTCTATGGACATCTCTGGTCCGCCGGCTGCTGCGCCCGCCTCCAACATCGACCTGCTCGCCGGCAACCTCGACGTGCTGGTGAGAAACACACACCACCTAACTGATAACACCTTCAATGCCACCATACTTTAGTACGAGATATCTTATTGGCACTGAAAGTATTAATTACAATTTTTTTTCTAGCGAAAATTTGAGATCTTCGTGGTTGCTTTACAATCTTCTCAATTCGTTTTTATTTAACTCTTTGCGGAACTAACAAGTCAAATTTTATAAGCGGTTCTACCATTAAGATTGCTACTTATGCATTAATTCGGCTTTGATAACATTGTCGAGACTAAATATGTAATGTGTTCGTCAGTTGGGCGGAGGACCGGAGCCGCCGGCGGCGAGCACGACAGGCCTTTTGGGTGACATCTTCGGCGCCGCAGCCGCGCCAGCCTCCTTCGTGCCGCCCAAGCAGTGCTGGCTGCCTGCTGACAAGGGCAAAGGTAGCTACCACATAAATCATCACAACGCCCGATAACTAACCCCCTTAGGGAAAGCTTAATTAATTTGAATGACTTAAGTGATAGTTGGTCAAACATTTAATTTTATTATTTGATAATATGGTGACCATCAATCAGGTCTGGAGATCTGGGGTACGTTCAGCCGGCAGAACGGGCAACCGCGCATGGAGATGACCTTCACCAACAAGGCCATGCAGCCCATGACCGGATTCGCCATACAGCTCAATAAGAACAGGTGAGTGTCAACTATATATACGAATGTCTGACAAAAGTCGTCATTATTAGGAACGTTTGTGTTAAAAATGTCTGTATGTTAAAGTTTCGGCGTGTACCCGGGCGGCGCGCTGTCGGTGGGCGTGGTATCAGCGGGCGGGCGTAGCGAGGCCGCGCTGCCGCTCGCCGCCGCCGGACCCGTGCAGCGCATGGAGCCACTCAACAACCTGCAGGTAAACCTGGAGAGATGTACTAACTCTGGGTGCTATAGGCTTTATTTTTTTTAGTTCCGCGCTGCTTGTAATGAATAAAAAGCATTGTTTGTGTGTGTATTATCAAAGAGAGGTATATTTTTGTTTATATTGTATTGCAGGTGGCGATCAAGAACAACGTGGATGTGTTCTACTTCGCTTGCCTGATCCCCGCGCACGTTCTTTTCACCGAGGACGGTCAGCTGGACAAGCGCGTCTTCCTCACTACGTGGAAGGAGATCCCAGCAGCCAACGAAGTGCAGCACACACTCTCTAACGTGGTCGGCAACGCGGACTCCATCGCACACAAGATGACCCTCAACAACGTCTTTACCATCGCCAAGAGGAACGTCGAGGGCCAGGACATGCTCTATCAGTCCCTCAAGCTCATCAATAACATTTGGGTCCTGCTGGAGCTGAAGCTACAACCCGGCAACCCGGAGGCCACTCTCAGCCTCAAGTCCCGCACCGTGGAGGTCGCCACCTGCATATTCCAAGCTTACGAAGCTATTATCAAATCGTAATCTCTTTAGACACGTTATATTCTCTATTTATATATATTGTTCTAAGTTTATCGAGTTATATAAAATGTATTATGTAAGTTAATAAAGACTATGATGACTGTAAATTCCATTAGCGTATGAATGTTTATTAGAAGTATGTTTGTATTGCGTAGTCCGCGGCATTATTCCTTTCTTGAGGACTATTTCGCTAACGCTGCTTATGAAGTAAAAAATAAACGTTATTCCAATACGTTCGCTTTTATTTTCCCTTTTTCTCATATGACTTTTTATTTATTAAAAAAAAGTTATCGATTTATATATGCAAAATCGAATGGTCGCTGTGTGAAAGTAGCCTACATTTTACATGTAAGATCAAAGGAAAGAGCTCATATGTAAATTTCATAAATGTATATTATCGCACAGATATTTATCTTTATTTACAAAATCATGGTTTGGACCAACTTTTACCTCTTCATATTCATTTATAAAACATTTCCAAAATTATGCTTACATTACAATAATATAAATACAGTCAGTTCATTTTCTAACTGCAATAAGTCTGGAAAAAATATAAATAAAATAACAAGAACCCGCTAAAACGACAAACTAATCACATATACAAATATTCTGACAAAAGGCATGAACGATTTGTTTACTTCTGACATCCATATTCTAGTCATTAGCGGTCGTAATTAATTCACGTAAAACAATAGAATAATTTTTATAACAAATGAGAAAAAATTCAGAAACATATTTAACATTAAATAAAAAATTATGTTTATAGACATTTAGATATTAATAAACATTTTTGAAATATAAACTATAGCTAAGGTAAAACCTTATTATGATATTGCATGAACTGTTTATAACAAAGATTTCAATACATAAATAGCAATTTTTTTCAAACACTTCACTTGGCAGTCATTTTCCTTTTTGTTTTCTATTTAAATTATAATAATAGGTCAATATTGTTTTTTTATAAATGTGTCAAACTACACATTAACGTCGACATCGTTACGAAACAAAGTTAAGTTGTATTTCTATGGCTCTTATGTACATAATCATATTTCTTCTGTTACAAATAGTGAACGATAGAATTGTAAAGAAATCTTAGATGTTCATATAATTTCCAAATCAACATAAGGTTGATTTATAAAATCTATTTATGTATAAAAATCATTGCCTTAGCTTCAATCGATCTTGACGAGGAATTCCTCGACCTGCAGCTTCTGGCGCATGATGGCAGAGAGCACCACCTCAGTGCTGCACACCACGTTCAGGGTCTTCTCCGACTGCAGCAGGTAATAGACCAGGTGCAAATCATTTGGCACCGTTAGTACCAGGTAGCTGTAGGGTTTCTGTGTATGGAGTTCTTGTATGGACACGTAGGAGCGTCGGTTTTTCTCAACTTTTCCTCCACACAATTCTATCATCTCAGTAAGTGCTCCCCTATTGGGTTTAACACAAGGTGTGAGGAAGAAAGTGATGCCTTCGAATAGTTTCTTCCTCTGTTCACCGCAGAGCAGTACTTCGGAGACGTCGCATTTGAACATTGTGTTGAAGGCGTCGTCGTGGAGGCCGTGCTTCGCCTCGTCCGCAAACTTGTTGAGGCGCTGGCTCTCGAGCAGCCACTCGGGGCAGAGCAGGTGCTTCACGGTGACCAGGCAGCTCACCAGCTTGCACGTGCGTACTAACTTTTCCATGACGAGGTGCGTCGCCTCCGCCGGGGACGTTACCACCATACCGCCCAGTTGACTGTTAAGTCGAATTATTCTAATGTTAATGTTTAAAAAAACAATTACAAACAGTAGTTTAACATCAGCTAATTAGCGCCTTTTGGCAATTCGGATCGTATATTATTAAAATAATAGTATAGATTATTGTTGGTAAAGTCACTTGTAATAATAGTTATACTGACCGCACGATGGCGGCGAGGCGCGGCTGCTCGTTGGCGGGCACGGCAGAGAAAAGCACGCGGGGGGCGAGGTGCAGCGGGGGCGGCGCGGGGGGTGGTTGTCCGGGGGTCAGTGCGGGGGGCGCGGGGGTATCTGCAGGCTCGAGACGCGGCCGCTTGGCCTTGCGCGCGCCGCTCGCCGCCGCAGCTCCGCGCTTCGCACGCTCGTGCGACTCCTGCGTTATGTTGATGGGCATCTTCCACGCGTCTGACAATAGCCAAAAGATTGTGTTAGCAGAAAGAGTAAAAATAATAATAATTGTCGACAATTTTAGACACCACTCACTCATTAAATGCGAGACGAGGCTGTAATCAATTCGGAATGGACTCGCCAAATTGAACTGTTGGTATTTCACATTCTCAATCTGCAAATAGAACAAAAAAAAATTAACTCTCCATAGGAAAATCCGCCCAGCTGCTCCTGTGTTGTGTTGTGCGCAAAGACTCTAGTAGTGTGTGTAGTTTAGTGCGTACTGTACCTGTGCGAGGGCACTCATGTTGCCGAGTAGCAGGTCGGTGAGCCAGGCGGCGCTGACAGCGGGCACGCCCCACTCGCGTGCACGTCTGTACTTGGCACCCTCCGCTCGCTTGCACACCAACACAGTGTTGTCACGCGACAAGTACGGCGTCAGCTGCAAACATAACCCACTTACTACCACTCGTTTACTGCTTTTACTTAGTGACAAGCTTGGCAGCTAACACATTTGAAAAGACCTATACCAAGTTGAATGCTGTTTATTTTTACACAACGATAAGAGATGTCGCTGTACCTTGGCGCCGATGATCTGTATGCAGCAGGCGAGGCGGCGGCGCTCATCGCGTCGCCAGCCGGTGAGGCAGACGCGGTGGTGTCGCGCGGGGCGGTCGCGCGGCGCGTGCATGGCGGGCAGGTGCAACGCCTGCCACGGGGGCGCCACGCCGCGACGCTCCATCGCGTCAGACAACCAGTAAGCGGTCACACAACGCTTGGCATCGCGCAACGCCTGCACATAAAAAATAATTAATTTGATTTCGGAACATCAGAAACAAGGAGATTCTTTTTGTGCCAAATCGAACTCGGGGGTACTCCCGAGTTCGATTTGGCACAAGAAGTACTTTACTTCTCCTTAAACGTGTATATGACGTCACAGCAGTGATGACGTAGTTACCTGCATGACGACGCCGTGGCGCTGCGTCTCGCAGAGCACGTGGGTGACGCGCGCGCAGTAGTTGGGCTCTACCTCGCCGCCGCGACGCTGGATCGCTTCCGACCACTTGCCCACTGATTCCGCACCCAGAGACTGCTGGTACTCCACCTGGCGGATAAACAGACCTACACTTAAAAATAAGTCTTTAACATAATGTACCCGAGTCTCTAAAAGAAGCAGGTGGCAGTAATTTAACATTGCTTATATTTTTAACGCTTTCTTATAAAAATATTAATATTGACTTAGTATTGACGATTGAATGAATACTCACAATATGAAAGACACATCCCAAGAGGAAGAGGTCCGGCGGCAGTTTGAGATTGGGATTGTGTCCGTAGAACTGTGCGCGCGGCGGCACTGCCCGCACCGCGCCGCCGCCCACGCCCACGCCCGCAGCTACGCCCACGCCCACACCGCTCGCGTACACCTTGTTGCCCACCACACCGGGGCCGCCAGACTATAAACATTTTTAGTTTGTCAAAATATTTGACAGTGTAATATTTTGAATTTGATCAAATCACCGGACTATTAAGACGTGACAATTTAGAACATTTTTAGGGATACCAATTTTTTGTTTGCTATTATACTCCTATACATCGGAATTACAGTTGTATAAGCAGTATTTAGAAGAGGGTAGAGTTACCTGTGCAGGCACCTGGTGCGGGTGGTGCGCGGTGCCCAGCAGCAGCCGCGCCGGCGCCCGCACGCTGCCCGCCGCCGCGTGCGCAGCCGTCATCAACCTGACACCAGGACAAACATCATAGTTTATCTTACTAATGTTATAAATGCGAATGTTTAGATGGATGTTTTTTGAAGGTATCTATAGAACGTCTGCACGGATCTTGATTAAATTTGGCATACATATAGAACATAGCCTGGAAAAACATATAATCTACTAATTAAGTTTTTTTTAATTCCGTGCAAAAGAAGTCACGGGCGACAACTAGTATTACCATAAAGAAAAAAAATATTTTTTTGTACTTTGTTTATTTAACAATATTTAGCAACGATGTATGTGTATGTGTATACCTGAGCGTGCCGGCGGCGGAGGGCTCGTGGTCCGGCGGTGGCGCACCCCCCTGGAGTCGGATGCTCAGCATGTTGGCCAGCGCTGTCTTAGTCTTTGGGTTCACCAGCAGAGTGTTACCCGCTGCACCTAATTACAAATTATATTTAGTTGTACCAACTTTAAATTTTACATCTCTCTCACACAATCTTTCTCCTTTTTCAATCTTCATACCTTGTTGCTGGTCGGCGGCGGGCGCCAGCAGTGCGGCGTCCACTGTCTGCTCGGTGAGTGTGGCCCCGCTCACTACGTGCTGCGTCACAGGACCCACCTGAATTACGATACAATATATACTTCGCACTCACAGACATTGAAGAGTTCCTTAGTATAGATTTAGTCAGCGATATCTACAGTAACATTTGAGTATGAAGCAGTAATCACTATAAATTAGACTGGCTGTTTGTCGTAGTATTTAGTGCCTATTTGATTTTAGTTGTTTAATCGTTCATAGTAGAGGAGGTGCTGTTTCCAACCAATAATATAGATAGAATTAACTATCATGTAACATAAATAGGCGCGTTCAAATCGGAACGAAGCAATGCCTTTAATTTTCAATCTATCGCCTATTGACAAGAAAGTTTGATATCTTTAGTTACAGTTACTTGATTGTTTAATTGCTCAAGTGATTGATTTCGACTGTTGTGTAGGTACCTGTTTGAGCGTGGCGTGATGATGTGCCACGTGGTCGCGCTGCGCTTGCAGTTGCTGCAGCCGCTGGTACTGCTGCTGGCGCTGCAGCTGCTGCAGCTGCGACTCCACACCGGCGCCCCCCGCGCCGCCCGCACCACCAGCACCCACCGGACTTGCAACCGGACCTCCGCCCACTACACATATTTTTGTAGTTATTTTTTTTTATTTCACAATTATTTACACTGTGGTAACACTTGTACAAGAGTCGAGAATATTCTTTGTTTTTTAGAAAACGACTAGGATATGTTTCTTTCATGGAAACTCACTGTATGGAAGGAATGTAGAAAGAGTGGTGACGATATTATTAGAAGACGTCCAAGAAAAACTCTAAATCTCCCGCCGTATGACAAGTTAATTGATGTCTTACTTTTAAGATGCAGTTTTTTTTTTAAATACTTTAATGAATTTGTCTATAAAACTTAACTTACATTCAAATTCCATTGACTCCATTTACGAATAATATTGTTATTTATTTTATCTCGACATCGTTTCAAAAATCACAGAAATTCGTGAAAACACTTGCACTTGCTAGTAGTGATATTAGATGAAATACTGAATCTATTCGTCGCTGGCTTAGATTGAGGCGACTATAAATTTATAATTCACAGATCAGTCGTCACAAAATAACTATGTATGAAGCAATCACAATACCAAAACTTCCAACTGGAGCATTCTTTGGCCAACGATTTTCTAATGTTTTATTTAAAAGGGACGTAGTTAGATATTAGAATGGTTTCGTCCCCCCTAATGTTATTCATTTTCGACTTTACATTTTGTTTAAACAGATTTTTTTTCCTTGAATGTCAATTGAAAGATATCTATAGCACTGCTACTTATAGTATTATATCCATCCTTTTTTTAATTTAAAACTTAAATAACTAAAAACATAATTACTTAGAAATAGGCAAATGCAAGTAATACAATCTTACTAATATTATAAATGCGAATTTTTAGATGGATGGATGGATGTTTGTTTGAAGGTAAGAACAGCTGAACGGATCTCGATGAAATTTGGCATACATATAGAACACAGTCTTGAAGAACACATAGCCTACTATGTTTTTTTTTCAGACGGAGTCACGGTCGACAGATAATACTCAGATAAGACAATAGCCTACGTTTTTGTTCAGACTATGTTTTACAATGCCAAATTCTAGCGAGATCGATAAGCCGTTTTGGAGATACCATCTAACCTAACATCCATCAAAACATTCGCTTTTATTATATTATTAAGATATGAAATTTCATTTAAAATTATTGTTTACCAGGCGATTGCGGTGGCTGCGTGGGAGTGGGCGCAGGTATGGCGGCAGTGCGCGCACCTTGCTGCTGCAGCCATTGCACCTTAATACATAGCACAATGCATCATCGTATCTACACTTTTATAATTTAACAAACTGTTCAGAATTCAAACCAAATTATGTAAACGTATTTAATTGCACTGACATTTTAAATCTTTACTGAAAAATTTAAGTGTATGTGGGTAGGTTAAAAAAATCCCGCCGTAATATAGACAAGTAAATAATAGCACAGAGTATACAATCTTCACGACATATTATACCAATTTTTTTTTTTGTGTAAAATTTGACGAGACATAAAATGGAACATCTTCAAAGATTTGTGATTAGCTATGATTCGTCATTTTATCATTTTAGTATGACACTTTTCGGCCTTAGTTTAGCCGATCGTTCACTGTTAAGTTAGACAAATCTTCATTGGGGGAGGTATTCGCTCATTGGATATATTTGGCACTATTTTTTATATTATAAGGTGTCAAACGAGCACGCGTCCACATGAATTCGCCGAAATAGCGAAGCGACTGCTACCCATAGACATCCGCAATCGCAGATGCGTTACCTATTCTTAACGGAGGGTTATGTTAACGTTACCCTCTCTCGACGGTGGAGGCACAGGAAGAGTACTTACTTGTTGTTGCTGTGTAAGGCCGGGCGGTAGTTGACTACGTATAAATGTGACGCTTTGTGGCGCAGGCGAGGGCGGAGTCCCGGCGCCACCCACTCCGCCTGGCTGCTATCGACATTGGTGAACATAGATTAACCAGTTAGTAGTAACCATCTACATAACAAGTATGATTTTTGAATTAATCTTGATTTTGTAAAGCTTTATTATCTATGTTGTATTGTAACAGGGTATAGATTACATTTATGGTTTAGTGGAAAAATCTGCTGTAACTCTACTATTTCTGGCAGGAATGAAACGAAAATGAAAATAGAAAATCTGATAAAAAGATTGTGCGATTGAGTAATCAATTATTTAAAATATGTATTCAAAATAATATTTATATAAATAACATAATAATTTTTCAGATTCAATGGTTTAAATAATAAATTAAAAAGTCACTAAATTTCTCGAAATGCGCCTTTATTATAACTTTTATGACAAAATCAATTATTAGCTGTTGCATCGTTTCTTCTCGATTGGTTCTTTAATCTCTGAAGAAGAAAGAGAAATGCAAAGAGTAAATAAATAAAAAAAAAAAAACAAAATTGAACTGCCTCAAACACACGGAGGCAAAGAATAAAGCTAAAAGTGGGTGCATAGTCTAAGCAATAATATCTCACTAATGTTATAGATGCGAAAGTTTGAATGGATGGATGGATGGATATTTGTTAGAATGTATCTCCAGAACAGGTCAAGGAATCTGTAGGAAAATATGACACAGATGTAGAAAATAGTCTGGAAAAACATTAATTACTAAGTTTTTTATTAATCCGCTGAAGCTTTCTTGATCTGAATGCTGCGCAGTCCTCCTACCCATAATTTTACATCTAGCTACATCTAAATCACGAACTTCCAAGCCGCTAAGATATTTTTAAAAATAACTATACCTGCTGTTGTGCTAACGCTGCTGCCCTCTGTATGGAAAGTTGCCTCCTCTTCTGCAGCTGAGCAACAAACATGGCTCGCTGCTTGGGGTCCATCTGTTGCAGCTGCGCGTGGGTCTGAGCGTCCAGGTGGATGAGCTGCCTCCCACCGCCGCCGGCCGTCCATTGCACCTGATATATGTATAATTTAGCTTACTATTTACTTGTTTATATGATATGAAATGATATGAAATTAAATATATGATTGATTTAGTCAAATGCTAGTTAATACAGCAAAAAAAAAAAGAATTGCAATAAAAACTCTTTGGAAAATAATGTGTCCATACTGTCTGTGATAGTACTTTACAAATTTGATAATTCAACATAATATTTATATCTAAATGAAGTTATCTCTTAAGAATATTTATAAAATTATATGATATGTGTTTTGGTGAAAATATATAATTTCTAAAAACATGTTTATCTAGTCCAAGTATAAACTATATTTTACTTATTACATATAAAATATTTTATGGTTAATCTAATTAAATAAAGTTTGAACAGATAATTGAACGTTATAGTTTAAAATGTACCTTCATTTAACTTCAGTCAATAGTACCTTTAACTAGTTAATCATAACGTCGCCATTTTCTTTTCCAAATGAGCTAGGATTAATAAAAATTATTATAAAGAGTGTACTTGTTTAAAACTAATTTATTTCATGTAATGATTAGTGTTCACATTAAATTCAAATTACTATATTACAATGATGTGGAAACTGGTGATCGATCACACAAGTTACAACTCTCCTATAGTCATCAATCCGCTCATAAGGAAAAACCATTTTATTTTAATTTTTAACAACTATAAAGTTTGCTTCATAAACTTGAAAAATAAAACAAATATACAATATTTACGAAATTGACAAGGTAAAAAGAAAAACAGATCATTTTAGTACTTACCCTTTGTCCAACAGCACCAGGTTGTCCAATTTGCTGTCTTTGCAGGTACTGCTGTTGTTGCCAGGACACATTCTGCCCACCCTGCACTATCTGTTGCCCTCCAGGTGACACAATTTGCTGTCCTCCACTGTGTGTGATGATCTGCTGTATACCCCCACCGGCACTCAGCTGGGACCCTGCCTGCGGGGACTGAGGCACCTGCGACAGCACTTGCTGGCCTTGCCCAATGATCTGCTGCCCTGACTGGTTCACTATCTGCTGTGAGGACTGAGCTATTACTACTTGATGCTGTTGCCCCTGCTGTGTTATCACATGTTGACCACCTTGGGACAACACCTGTTGACCACCTTGAGTGATTATTTGCTGACCACCTTGGTTAACCAACTGCCCACCCTGGTGGACAATCTGGCTCTGAGATACAATTTGTTGACCCCCTTGTAGAGTCACTTGTTGGTTACCATGAACCAATATTTGCTGTTGGCCGGTGTGTTGGTTGATTAAAACTTGTTGTGGTGCTTGAACTAATTGCTGTTGTCCACCGCTGTTTAGCAACTGCTGCTTTTGGACCAATATTTGGTGATGTGTTTGGCTTATTGTTTGTCCTTGGGAACCAATAGATTGTTGCAATATTTGTTGTGATGCTTGTTGTATTGTATGTTGGGGGCTCAACTGTGCTTGTTGGTTGTTTATAAGAGCCTGTTGTTGCTGTGTTTGCATTATTTGCTGTTGTAAAATAACCTGGTTTTGTGGATTACGAGTTTGTACCAATGGACTCCTTATAATTTGATGTTGGCCTTGTACATTCTGCACCATTTGTATATTTTGTTGTCGCCATGCTCCCTGCACTGAAACATTGCCACTCTGTTGGTTTGTTAGACCTTGTTGGACTGATTGAATTTGTTGACCAATAACATTTTGTTGTCCAGTGTTACTAACAAGCTGGTTAAGTTGGACATTCTGACCGCCTTGTGCTTGCGATGAACTGACCATACCTTGTTGATTGACAACTCCCATGGTCATATTTTGTTGTTGGTTATTCATTGACTGCACAGTCTGTTGCTGCAATAAATTTTGATTCTGTGCTGATAACTGTTGCCCAGAGTTTATAAGCTGTTGTTGATTGATGACCTGGGACTGGTTGAGATTTTGGTTGAGTTTAGCATTTTGTAAGCTCTGTGTAAAGTTCTGAGTAGATTGAGCAAGTTGTTGAGCAATGTTCTGAACGGCATTTTGCTGGCTCAATGTCAAACTTTGTTTCATAGCCATATTCTGTTGATTTAATTGTGCTTGCTGTAAATTAGCACTTTGGCTTAACATCTGGCTGATGTTCTCAATTTGCTGCTGCGCAGAACTCATTGATGTGTTAGTAGTCTGGTTAATATTTTGATTTTGTTGAAGGTGATGTTGGTTTGTTTGAATATGTTGTTGTATTTGGTTTGAGATGTTTTGATTCATTTGAGATACTGAGACATTGGATTGTTGGAATCCTTGTTTCTGTTGGAGCATTTGCATTCTCAACTGATGTTGTTGCAATAACTTTTGTTGCTGAATTTGTATCGCAGATAATCCATGTGGTTGTTGCTGCTGCTGCTGTTGTTGTTGTTGCTGCTGTTGTTGTTGCTGTTGTTGATGTTGTTGTTGTTGGTGTTGCTGATGCTGTTGCTGATTTTGATATGCTTGTTGCTGTTGTTGAACATTCATATGTTGATTTTGGATATTCATACCGGCTTGAGATACTATAGCATTCTGTCCAAATTTCTGCATCAACTGTACATTACTCTGACTACTCTGTATTTGAAGGTTTTGTGTAACTATGCCTTGAGGTATAGATTTGCTGATAATACCAGCAGTCGACATGGCAGTACTATAACCCATAGAGTTGACAGCTCCTGTGGCCACAGTAGATGTGTTGGCAGATGAAGGGGGATGGTTCCAAGGCATCCTTTGCTTAAGTTTGTCCAGTAGTGCTTGTGTGCTGTCATCTTTATTTTCAGCCATATTCTGTGTAGGCACTTCATTCTTGGCTATACCTTCTTCAAAGTCAAAACCAGTAATAGCACTGATGCGATCCATTGATTTAGGTGGTGGCTGTGGTATGATTAACAATTTAGGATGAAAAACTTCTGTCACTGCTTGTATTCTTGCCCTTAGACTCTCCAAAACCCAATCAGGGGTAACAATTTTAACTCTTGATGGGGGCAATGTAAGAGCTATGCTGTACTTCTTGCCTGTGGCAGCTCCACAAATAAGATGAGTGCACTGGGAGTCGAAATTTAATTTGACTTTTCCACCATGATATGTTATAAGCGCGAACAGGGCCTTTGTATCAGCTGAACTTACTTTAGAAATACATGCAACCACATTAGAAAATATCTTATTCTTGGTTGGAGTGTATGGCTTAGTATTGGCCAACCTTTTCAAACGAGCGCAGGCGAGTACCCAGCTTTCGGTCACAGCGGGAATCTGGTAGATGTCCTGCGCGTCATCGAGGTCCGTATCAGCGGCATTTTGTCCACAAATTAAATGTGTGACATAGTCCGAAAAATATTTTGTATTTTCTGCACCTCCTGACTGCAGCAGGAGCATAATCTGTAAATACAAAGACGCCACTAAAAACTTCGAACGTCAGTTCATAAATAACAATAAAAACAAAAAATACATGAAAAACAAACCCTTTCAGAGACATCGCCAGAGAGGTAATATTTAACATCCTTAAATATGGGCTCTTGCAAACTCAAAGAATCTAGATCGTCAACAATCGTTACCATTTTCTGTTTTAACAGACGATGTAAAATTAAAGTTTAAACAAACATTTTCATTGTAAAATCTTAAGCGCCGAAAACTAAAACATTAAGCGACGACGTCCATGTTTAATGTTGCCATTTTTTTCTGATTTCTCTTCTACAATGTTACAGATAATACAGTACACTGTTACAGATTATATGTTTTCTACATCTATATCTATGGAATGTTTCACCAAAGTTACTTGGACTCCTAATAATTTTAGATTAATTAACTATAAAGGGTCACTTCTTTTTTATATTATAAGGCGATAAACGAGCAAGGGGCCTTCTACATTCGCCGAAAAAGCGGAGAGACCAAAGAGAATATAAAAATACATAAAGAGTACATAATAGAAAAGACCGTCTCCTGTACACATCCGCTTTTGCAGACGAGTTGCCTACCTTTAATCGACAGGTGATGTCAACCAATCACGACAAATCCCAGGCAGTTTATTTAGTCCCCTCATCCTCCTTCTCCCCACCCTCTCCTCATCATAAAATTAATATTTTATAATTTGGACTCACAGAAGCATAATTTACAAAACACAAACTTGTTTATCCATTTTATTTGCGTTGGCATTATTAATAACACTGAGACTATCAATAACAAAAATCATTCAGATATTAACATAAACCAGTAAATTATTAAGTCTGGAATTTCATTAGTAAGAGTTGATAATTAAATTTATTTGTAATGACGTCAATGTTATGCTAATGACTTTTGTTTTTTTTTAATATAAAGGATATAAAAGTTTTTTTTTTAATTTGAGACGTATTTAGGTATAGCATCTTCAAGTGCTAGGTTGTTGACTAAACGTGCTGATAGCTGTGCCCATGACTTTGGTCGGGTGAAATAATGTGTTTGGGTAGCATTGTATCTCCGTAAAAATTACATTTGAATAGCTCCAATATTTTGTCTTTTGTCATAAACTTATAAAACGTTTAATCAACCTTACATATTTCGATATAAACATTTCACTCCCCTTCTCTCCTCTCCTTTCCACTCTCCTTTCAATCAGTCAAACCAAAACATCTATTACGAAATTCTTATTATTTATATTCGAATTATACACATCGCAGATGTTACGTAAAATCCTAAAATAATTATTTAACCGCATTGAAATCTTTGTCGAATTTACGCCATAATCATGAGTCATTAGGACGTCCTTGAATATGTAATTTGCAGAAGCTTTTTATTCTAATAAGAATTAGTTTTATATTATACTTTGTGCGTATTAGTGTACATCAAATATGGTTTTCATTTCATTTAAAGTGGTCAGTATAGGTATTTGGAGAGATAATGTAACCGCAATGAACTTTGCCTTACTTTACTAGGTACTTTACGAGTATGGGTAAGGTTAGGGGGTATCTAATGGAGTAAAACGGGAAAAATACATAAATAACATCAATACGTAATTAAAAACTATTATGATTTTACGATATACAATGAAATTACATTATACCGGTTTTCTCAAAGCGCTCAAAGACATACAAACGTATTGAGAACCTCCTCCTTTTTAACGTTTTAGAAAGCGCGCGCTTTATGACGCTTCTAGACGCGAAGTATGGATTCGATATATAAAAATTGTTAATTAAATCTTTAACGATACTAATCAGACAATTAGCTAGCTGATTTAAAATTGTATGAATTTTGAAGTATAGCCACCGACAATTTATTCCAAAAAAAATGTAAAAAAATTTAGTTCAACGAAAGCCGTTGACAACCATGAAGATTTTAAAAATAAAATATTTGTCTAGAAAGTAGCAATCAAGAATTAATTAATTCATATATAAATTAAAAACTAATAAAAACTTGCAAAAAAGTGTTATTTATACGATTAGCAGAGCTTCTAAATATTATGCTAAACGCTTATACATATTCAAACATGCTCCAAATGCTATAGTATATTTTTATAAAATTGGGGTTTTCCAGGTCAGGGGAACTACCCATATAATTTATGGATTTGTATCTTGTAAATATTTCTTATTCATAAAAGTACAAATAAACTTTTTTTAATTACATTATTAACCAGATTTATGGCATACTAAAGAACAGTTAAATAAGCCATTGGCATGTATAAGTTAAGGTTAGCGTTTAATACAATAATATGAATAAACAAAGGATTTCTTATAATAACTAAGAACTTAAAAACTACGGACGGTTGCGGAAACAGCGTCCATAACACATTATTGATTTGTTTTCTCAAAGATCTTATTAATTATAACTGCGAAAGTGAAAAAGTATCTCTAGAAAGGCTGCATGGATCTCGCTGAAATTTGACATAAATGTAGGACATAGTCTAAAGGCTACTGATCCCGCCCGGACGGAGTCGCGGGCGACGGCTAATGTCAGTTTCAATCAAGTAGCTCCCCTACGCCGTTTTGTTGTGGAAATACCTCGCATACGAAAGAAGTAACTCATGACGACATAAAACAGTTTGAATCTGCGGAAAACCTATCGTTTTAATAATTATGCTTAGTAATTCCATAAAAACCGGTACTAATGGGGGGGGGAGTATAACATTAATATTAACAACTTTATAATCTATATAAGAAGATCTAAAATGTTTTGTTAGATTTTTAGTATATTATAATTTGTTGGTTATCGTGAAAAAGTGGCCCCAAGTTGACTGCCACTTCAGTGTACAATTAGGCGGAGGCTTGAAGACACGTCAAGCAGTCCGTTTATAAATAACAGGAAAAGATTTTAAATATATAAACACTTAATAAAAATGCAAATCGTATAGCGCGTTGTCTTTATCATATTTAAAAAAAAATTAAAAATAAAATGAATTGTGTTTCGATCAATGTTTTCGTGACTGTAGGAATATCTTTGCTTCTGTTTGCAAACGCTCAATCTCCTTGTCCTGATATTTTTGAGTACAAAAATGATGATAATGGTGTATACGGACTGTTAACATTGAAACCCAATGGCCGAAAATCAACAATAACAGTTAGAACAAATTTTACGATCACAGCGAAGTTAGCTTCAGTAAGTACTTCTATAAATATTATGTTTTCAGTTTAGTGCTTAATTAAATTGATTCATGTAAAAATTTTAGCATTGTTTTGTTCAGCAGTGGACAAAGACTGGTGATTATGATGTAAAAATTGCTTACCGTATTATATCCCAATCGTATGTTTTGTTATTATAAATTTTTAATATATAAATACTGCCGCATAATTTTTAAAAAGCTACTTAGTAAAAATTTGATTTTTTCATTTCTTCTCCAATGGTATTTATTGACTATTTCTATTCTACAAAAACACAAATCAAAACAATCATAAAATAGTCGTAACATTTAAATGCAGTATTTATATATTGTTTTACATAAATACATAATTATACATACTTGTTTATATATAACTAATTATATACTTTCCGATATAATGAAGAAGATATACATAAATTATTTATCAAGTAACATTTTGATTCTCGCTAAAACTCGAGAACGGCTGAACGGATTTATCTTATCTTGGTCTTAAAATGTTCTTGGGGGTCTATGGAAGGTTAATAGTTGAGAAAAATTCGAATAATTGCCGAAAACTAATTAGGTTGTTTTTTCATACCACGCGGACGGAGTCGCAGTCGACAACTAGTTGTGTATTAATAACGGCAGCTGTTGAGTTTCGTCAGTTCAAATCCCGTTACTGAGTAATGAGACTGAACTCCCGTTGCTCCCACGACCGGGAATATCCTTCGGAATTTCCCTGTATAAAGAATATTCCACTTCCGCGTTTATGATTTGGATAAGGCCATCCCTTTCATTCCTTTTGAAAAGACAGAGATAACGTTAAATACGTTATAACCATTTACGTAAATGAATTGTAGCAATTTAATAATTTATTACGACAAAATTTCACCTTAATATGGCAAAGTTTACAACTCTTTTTTTCGCGATTCACTCCCTTTTTCTACTCATATTTACTTCTCTACTTATCAAGGGATATATTCCTTAAATGACCTTTTTTATGAGTTGCCAACAAATAAAAACTCACTCGTTGAAATCTTTTAAGCCTTATAAGTGTTATTCTACAGTCCAGAACGTTTATTTCCTACCCATTTTAAGTGAAAAACTTGTCATGTCAACATGTATTAGTAATTTACAGTGAATTTCGACTGTTATGACACTAAAAAATATATTGTTGTCTTTATTTATTTAAAGACTAGCTGTCACCCATGACCCCGTCCGAGCGTAATTAAAAAAAACATAATTAGTCGCCTGCATGTTCTTTCAGACTATGTTCTATATGTATACCAAATTGCACCGAGATCCGATCAGCCGTTCTAGAGGTACCTTCAAACAAACATCCATCCATCTAAACATTCGTATCTATAATATTATAATAGTAAGAAGTATGACCGTAAGATATTAGTATTATAAGATAATGTAAGGGTGCACAATATGTAAGTTTGCTATGAGATATTTGATTCTAAATGAGGATTTATTTGAAGAATTAACTCGCGTGTATAATGCAGACAAAGGACTACACGCGAGTAATTCTATTCGGTCTATCGGGTAGTGAACAATTCTATGCGTGAATCAAAATTATTGATGGGTGTTCATACTAAAAAGACAGACTGTACAAAACATATTAATATCTCAGTTTTTACAATGAGAATAACAGGGATGGCTACATTTTTTAAAGCAGTATTTCGGTAATGTAATTCCACAATAGCGTTTCGTACATAATTTTCTTTTTTAAGAACCTTGATTGACGTACAGGAAAATAAATTCAAATCATATGTTTCCTATCGGGTTTATATTATAAAAAACCTATCATTAGATTTGTAACTTGTTTATAATTAACCATTTATTTTAATAGGCTGGAATTATTTAATAAAAAATCAATAATAGATCGTATGTACATATTATTTATATTCAACTTTGAATGTTGTAATGTGCGATAGACTAAAAAAAAGACTAATAACTACGAACAAAACAAAAGACTATATTTGTGGTGAACAGATTAGTCAACATTCTGACGTGCAACTTGCAGCAATTTAAATAATAATAATAATAAAATTAAATGAATAAATAATTTAAGAATAATTCAATGGAGTTAGGTTAGCTTATATCAATCGTGAAAAATGTAGTTTATATATAATGTGATGAATCTTACTTCTCATTAGTCTTACAAAAGTTATATCTTACTTTTTACTTATCTTATTAATATTATAAATGAGAATGTTTGGATGGATGGGCGGAGTTTTTTAGAAGGTATCTCCAGAACGTCTACGTCGATCTCGCTTAAATTTGGCATAGATGTAGAACATAGCCTGGAAGAACATATAGAGTTATAATTTTTTTTTTTAATTCTTGCGGATGGAATCGGGGGCTACAGCTAGTAAGAAATAAATTTTTGTACGACAGTAGAAATCCACGTGGTAAACCATCAGATATGCAGTAAAAGGGTTTATTGCACTAAAAGTATATTTATAGCAAACTTCTTACATCCTAAATAAATAAGTAGTAGGGGTCAGTCTCCGTAGAGAAAAATTTGCATTTAAAAATAAATATTTAAGCATATATAAGCTTTTATCATAAATAGCTACATAATGAAATGAATAGGGAATATATTCAAACTATAATTTTATTCTATTTTCCAACATTAAAATATTTTAATAAACAAACAACAACTTGATTATAGAAAAAAATGAACTCATAACAATGTACTTCAGTGCACTGATTAAAATCTGAACTCGTTGAAATCTTTCATATGATTAACTTTCCCTATTACTTCTTACTAATATTATAAAAGCGAATGTTTAGATGGATGGATGTTTATTTTAAGGTATCTCCAGAACGGCTTAACGTATCTTACTGAAATTTGGCATAGATGTAGAACATAGTCTGGAAGAACACATAGGCTACTGATTAACTTTTTTAATTCCGCGCGGACAAAGTCGCGGGTGACAGTAAGAGATAAACAATGCGAGAGACATTTCGAGATAGTAGATTACAATTTTTTGCTATGAATTATTAAAAAACGTTAATGTACGTTAATTTTAACAGACCCAGCTTAGAGTAATATAAAAAAATATGAAATGTACCTTTCATTGCGGTATAGTGTCCCAAATAAGAAAGATGAAAATAAATTGAATGGTTATAATTTAAATGACGTATGGTTTTTGAGCACCTCTCTCCAAAAAAAACAACATAATTTTTTTTTGATTGGTCAATGCCTCTGTACATAACCGTGTTATTGCTTGGTACAACATCTGGTAATTCCGAAATGCTGCGCGGAGATTGAGATTTTGACTTGACTGTTACTTACAATTAGCTTTCCTTACAAAAATGTTTCGGCTTTATGTTTTCTGATCTTAAAGTCTTACAGATCTGCATGTACTTTCGATTTTTGTTTCAAACTTCAATCAGCCAAGCGCTTTTTTAAAAATAAAATATTCCAACCAGTCAAAACTATAATTAAAAAACAATTATTTTTGAATCAATATTTCGATAGGCAAAACCCAACAATAGACAAATTATTTTGTAAACAAGCTCATTAATTCAAGCATTTGGGAATCTTACAAATATTATAAATCCGATTGTTTGGATGAATGAAAGTTTGTTAGAGGGTGTCTACAGAATGATTGCAAGGATCTCACTGAAATTTGGCAAAGATGTGCAACATAGTCTGGAAAAACACGTAGGCTAGTTGCTACATCTAGTAATAAAATATATTGTGAATCCCTGTGCTGCATAAAATATACCGGTTTTTGATAGTCCGTAACAAAATAAGTTTTGTTTTTATTATAATCAAGGTTAGAAGTATATTAGCCGGAATTTACGTCATTGGCGTAGATTTTTTTTAATAATATTTTTAAGGACGTCTACAACTTGAGAAAAACTAAGTCGCAACCGGTTATAAAGTATTAAAACTATTTATAACGACATTTCTTCACGTGGCGTCGTCCATGCTCTGTCTGTAAACTCGTTAAGCAAATGATAAAATAAATAACTTGATACAAAGGTTATAGATAAAAGGTCAAACTTTGAATGCGGCTGTTTTTTTGTAGATGTAAAAAAAACTATTTTAGCACAACAGAATGTTGGCAACTCGCTCGTCAAAATCAGTCCAGTCGTTAAGGCTATGGTTCACAATGGCATTGTCTTATATACAAAACGGCAAACATACAAACATACGTATCCGCTTAAAACATTACCCTTTTGAGTCAGTCGGGTGTATTGGGTATACTTAAAATAACTATTAAATAATCTTACGTTCATCTTAACCTTACTAATATTATAAATGCGAATGTTTAGATAGCTGGATAGATGTGTGTTTGGAGGTATCTCCAAAACGGTTGCATGGATCTCGCTGAATTTTGGCATAGATGTATAAAATAGTCTAGACGAACACATATGCCACTAATTAAGTTGTTTTAATTCCAACCGGACATAGTCGCGGGCGAGAGCTAGTGTTAAATAAATTATGAGACATTATTTATATGATGGGATGAAACGGTCGCGTGACTTTGTTTTGACCGTCGTTACGTATGCCTGTCGTTGTCGGCCGCACGAGACTTTGCCACGACCGGCGACCTGCGACCAGTCGCCGGGGAATCCCATTTCGATGGAGACGGTAAATACGCGTTATTATTTTATTAACGGAAGATAGCCCCACTATTAGCATTTTTGTATTTTACAACATTGCTTGACAACACCAACATTAAAAAAAAAAACAATTTTTATATTCGTTTTTTGAACGTTTCAGCTATAAAATCCAATGAATTTATTTAATATTTGTAAATGTATATAAAATTGATTTACATATTAAATAATTTTCATCACTTTTTTAATATTTTTTTACAAATAATGCTAAATCGTCGTAAGATGCTGCGATACGTCTTTTAGCAGGATTCGATTCTTTTAATAAGCGGATCCAAACTCGTTATTTTTTACTGTCCGTTGGCTTTACTGCATTAGTCAGACGTAACATATTTAATTCATATTGGTACGGCGTTCGTTGTTTTATGACTAAGTATATTTGTTTTTAAACATTTATTTACTACATACTAGCGTAGCTACTATTGCTACCTGACTTCGGACCAATGGATTTGGTTTTAAAATTTTGATGTCCATTAAAAATAAAAATAAAAAAACAGTGCTACCAAATTATACAGATTTCTAGGTACATTTTTTTGGGTTTTTAACGTATTATTTTATTAACATACTATTTGTTATTAGTTAAATAAAATAATAATAAACTTGGACTTCCCAAAGAAGTACTTGAAAAGAATATTCGGCTCGGGATTAATGGACAAATAAGGAAAATCGTTACAAGAATTTATTTGGGGATTCCGGTTTTAGTTACATTTAATACAATGAAGCACAACATGACCGTCGTCTAATACACTTTTAGAAAAAAAAAACATTTTAGTCCGATCTTTATCTATAAAGACGACGGAAAATGTAAGGATGGAAAGAGCGTTTGGATTGGGATGAATTTTGGAATATTATGTTATATAATAAAAGATAAAATGAAAATATAAACTAAAATTATTAGAAATAAAGAGAAAAGCACGCACTGTTACAAGAATATATTTACAGCTCATACTTTTAAATATAGAGAAAAAGGAAGAAAAAACATATAATGTTCTAAATACAAAAATATAAAAATTATGAATAAAAACGTGTAAAAAGTTCCGTATCTGTCGGCAACAATCTATATTTAAGAAAATTTATTAGAATTAACTTGCAGTCGTACAGACATAAAAACACACACTGTTACGAAATATTCTTTTTTCTGATATAACACATAGACACTCTAATTTTATTAATATGTTTAAATTCAGTGAGATAAGATTAAGAACAGTTTTTTTTTAATTTTTAGGAATACGTTGGTAACATCCGACCTTATGGTGGTGCCAATGCGATCACGGAATACAACAAAGGCCAAACAATACAGTACAGAGTTAACCTGCCAGTCAGCTCTCCACTTCCCAAAATAACAGCCATATATATAAATGAAGATCTTGTATGTTCTGATAACCCAGGTAATTATATCTCAGATACCTTACTAATATTATAAATGCGAATGTTTAGATGGATGGATGTTTGTTTGAAAGTATCTCCAGAACGGCTGAAAAGATCTTGAAGAAATTTGGCATACATATAAAATATAGTCTGGAAGAACACATAGGCTACTAATTACGTTTTCTTTAATGACTCGCGGGCGAAAACTAGTATTTAACAATAATAGAGCTAGTCTCTAGTAATTAAAACCTTTATTCTGATAGGTTTCAATTCTCTGATTCTTTGATTCTAAAACAGCTACTTATTTGTAACATTTACAGATACATTGGAAACGAGTAATTACGTTACAACTATATCTCTTCAGCACACTCTGTATGCGAGCTCCGGAACTAAAATTATTTATGGAAATACAAGACCATCGACATACACGCCTATCAAATATAACATACAGAATGACCGAGTTGTATATAATATACCATCACCGTTTGACGGGACAACAGGAACGTATCGTAAGTACTACAGATCCTTACTAATACTATTCAACTATTCATGATAATAACTAGTAATTATTTAATTTAAATATGAAAATTCTAGAGAACGATACGAATCGAATGACACCACCGAATGAATCTTCTACACGTAACTAAAAACATTATATCAAATATAAAATAGCAAATTAATATTTATACATTACAGACATTTTCGACGGACCAATAAGAAATTCAATTAATTTTTCATCGAACTTTTTTGATAATGTTGGCTTATTTGGTACCGGTCCTTCAACAGCTGTTCAGCCAAAACCAGAGACACCTGTACGACGAAAGCCGCCGCCCCCTCGACCACCAGTACAAAACCCGTAAGTAAAATAAACTTGATAAATGTTCAATTATAAAATTCTCCGTACTTATAATGTAAGCTTTTACCTTCAACTAATATGTGTAAAACTTTATTACGACATTTCGACAACTTCATACTTATCTAAAATCATAATAAGTAGCCTACGTAATCTTCCAGACTATGTTCTACATCTGTGCAAAATTTCATTAAAATTCGTTGAGCCGTTTCGGTAATACCTTCAAATAAACAGCCATCCACCCAAACTTTCGCATTTATAGTAGAAAGTGCAAAATGCTCCGGGAAAATTTATAATATCAGAAACCTAGCGACTTCATGTTACATGATTCTTCCTTTAGAATCAGATAATTATGAAGGAATAATTTTCAACAGGGTTCGCGATTCTGGAACCTCGTCTCGTGTTTCTGATGGAGAGAACTCTTCTAATATACAATGCGGGCAAGGCAAAATTGGTGTGCCACTGATCTGGCACGGACAAACGTACCCGCGTGGCGAGTGGCCCTGGCTCGTCGCCCTCTACCAGACCGTTGCACGGACGCTAACTTTTGTGTGCTCGGGCACTCTGATATCTGACCGACATGTCCTCACAGGTAAACTATGAATATCTATAGATAAAACCCTTCGTACACAAGGCAACGTAAATCTTCGAAACATTACCACACAACAAATTGAATCGTCGACGCGAGGCATCTATTCGATCACTTTAGTTTATAAAATCACAGCATCTTTTCTAACGACGACCTAGACAAAAAAGCAACTATACAAAGAACAAAATGTCGACGACGCGCGCTGTGTTGCAACCCCCATGACATTGTATTACCTTAGTCGCTTAATGACTAAAATAGCCGGGTTCGAAGATTTACGTTGCGTTGTGACCGAATGGCCTAAGAAACTGTAACTACATGACCATTGTATAAAAAAAACTAATACAGGGGTCAAAACTCAAAGGTTTATCACAAAATACTTTTGATTTTCGTGAATTATTCTAGTTATTTGTTAATATTTACCATAATTTGCAGCTGCCCATTGCATGACTAATAAGCAGGCGACAGACATGATCGTGAAGATAGGCGTTTACAACTTGGACGAATGGGGCGGCGACGTTGAAATGCGAAAACTCCAAGCGGCGGATGTGCACGAAAATTACGACAAAGTTAAATTTTCAAGTGAGTATATGTGAACTTAATGATAAGTAATGATAAAATAATTTAAACTGTTTTTTTATATTATAATAATTATTTTCAAAGTAAAAGGAAAGACAGTTAATCGACCGATACAAATAAAGCAAGAATTTTTATTTGTGCTGCTTGTGATTTTTTCTTGTGAATTTCATAATTGACTATAACAATTATACTGAGTCAGTATTCTGCTGATGAAAATATATATGGAAATTTCAGAAACCCGGCATTCATGTTTAAATATTTTTCCCAGATGATATTTCACTACTCACATTGGAGAAGTCAGTAGAATTTAACAGTAACATCAAACCAGCGTGCTTGTGGGGCACTGACGATAATCTAGACCGTATCGCTGGACACACTGGAGTGGTAATATAAATATTTACTTCTTAATTCTTACTAATATTATAAATGCGAATGTTTAGATGGATAGATGGATGTTTGTATTAAGATATCTCCATAACGGCTACATATGTAGATCTCGCTGAAATTTGGCATAGACCGAGAAAATAGTCTCGAAGAACACGTAGTCTACTTATTAAGTTTTTTTTTATTCCGCGCGGATGAGGTTGCGGGCAACACCTAGTTTTTAATAAATCTAGATATTATACATACATACTGCCGCCAAAACAGTGTGATTAATCACTGAGAGAGACCGCTAAAAGAGTCTGAGCGGGATAATTAATCTCCGAAATTTAAATTTTTAATTATTTTACCTTTTTCATAAAATACGTGCGTAATTTTTAATATTGCTTAACACTAAATTCAGTGATAATTTGGGTCGTCGGGCAGAAGAGAATTTACCGTGGGTTGCTGAAATCAAAATCTCTTTTGTTAAAGATACTGACCGGGATAACGATATGTTTTATACAGAGATTTTGGTCTCAAAAACCCACGGTTAATCGGCGAGCACTATAAATTAAGTTTGATTTTAGGTTACCGGTTGGGGAGACAATGAATCGGGCAAAGGTGGGCACGGCGATCCCAGAATGATCCGATTGCCTATTGTCACGAACAGGGAGTGTCGTGCGACTAGATCTGAATTCCACAAGCTTACTTCTGACACAACTTTATGTGCAGGTGTGTTATTTTTAATTGTAAATAACTTTATAAGTATACAAATATCTCTAGCTTTATAAGATTATGGATTAGGAAAATTTGTTTGGAGTATTAAATAGAAGTCAGTTTATCTGTGATTGTACAATTTTGGTTTCATTTTCAAGGTAATCGCGATGGTTCAGGCCCATGTGCGGGTGACTCAGGTGGTGGACTGTTTGTCCTGGACGACGGCCGATGGAGAGTCCGTGGTATAGTCTCTCTTGCTATATCAGCCAAATCAGCCGAAAAGCCATGCAACCTCGACGAATATGTCATCTTCACAGACGTAGCTAAATACAGATCGTGGATAAAGAGACACATGGCATTTTCGTAATAAAATAACACGTAATACAATTACTGCATTTTCTATAATTTAAGGACAATGTTTTTTTTTATTAAAGTAATATAGAAATATAAGTTTCAACATTAATTTTTTGTGAAAAATGACGATGTTTTTTGTCTTCCGAGTAAGCTTTAATTTTAAGAAAAATAATGAAAATAAAGTTTTATTTTTAAAAACATTCCTTTTTTACATAACTTCTAAACGTGTAACATTTATCAAACGAGGAATTACGAGAAATAGATTTTCAGTGATGCCCGGACTATAAAAGTTAAACCCGGTGGCCCACATACTATGGTACCATTCAAAGAGTCTATATCAGAAGAGTCGGATTCTGCTAATTAGATGCGTAAAAGAAGAATTATGGAGGACACTTTCAGTGCTACCAACAAGACGAACAAGTCGATGTTGCTACCAACCTAAAAAATGAATCTGGCAATCTCACCACCTCACCAATGGTACCAAAACGATTTTTTAATTATGAAATGATAAGACCCAGCATCAAACAATCCCAGGCCTAATCCTGGTTCTTTTCCGTTCTTCTCCTTCCCACACTTTGTCGCTCATAGAATGCATTAGAAAGATATTTTTGGCACCCCTAAACCTGCCAAGGAAAGACCTCTCTGATTTCTGATGATATTTGACTGATCTTATAACAATGACAACTATGACCTAAAAGTCTATGTTACTAGGTCATAAAATTAAAAAAAGCAATGACAACTGTCAGCTGTCAATTATTTTTGTTTATATTATTACTTTTTGAAAAACAACAATGTTCATCAAGATATACTAAAATACTAAAAGTGAACGTACTGTTTCATCATGAATTGGAACAAATTACTCTGCAATCGCAATGAACTGCAATTACTCGGCACTTTGAATGGCGGTCAAAGTTTCAGGTAATCGTTACGTTAATTTTAAAAATTCTTACTGTTAAGTCTAGCTTGAATCTAAAAAATACTGTTAATATATTTAAGATGGACCCATAATGAAGACAAGGATGAATGGACGGGTATATTTAGTAAAACTGTATGGAAATTAAAACAAAGTGAAGACTTTTTACATTACCAAATAATCGGTTCATTAAAAAAACTTCCGGAAACGAAAACGAGTAAAGGTGCGAATGAATCAAATTTTGAGATGATGCTGAAAAAGTATTTTCGTCTGGAACTACCATTAACAAAATACTATGAGGAATGGTCTGAAAAAGATGCATTATTCAAGACAGCTTGTAAACAATTTTATGGTATTAGAATGCTTGCACAGGAGCCAATTGAGAATCTTTTTTCTTTTATTTGCAGTCAAAATAATCATATTTCAAGGTAATATCCTTTAAATCAATAGTTTTATAAGAAGTGAGACTTTATTTGGAATAACTTTGTCATAATAATATAGATTTAAATTTTATCTATCTTGTAATAAAATATAATAATCAAAGTGTCCAAGAGTAATTTTTGTATTGACTGCAGCAGGTTTATTTCAGAATATCAAGTATGGTAGAAAAATTATGTACATTTTATGGTGAAGAAATATGTGAATATGATGGAGTAAAATATTATTCATTCCCTGATGTCAACAAGTTGTCAGGGTCACAGGTAAGGTTGATCTATGCAGTGCATGTATTAGGGGAAAAGGCCTAAGGATATGGGAAAAGATGACCTTTTTTTTCTTGCACTCAAAAATCCTGCTTTGGAACTTATTAATTTTACAAAGTGATGAATAAATTTTTACAAAGTGAATGAATGTCAATGTGTTTATAAAATGAAATCATAATAAATATTTGTTTTTAGGTGGAACAAAAGTTACGTGAGCTTGGTTTTGGGTATCGGGCGAAATTTATACAAAAGTCAGCCGCACAAATTGTTGAATGGGGCGGTGAGGAATGGTTTGACACATTGCAGAACATGAAATATAAAGATGCCAGACAAGAACTTATGAAACTGTGCGGCATAGGACCTAAGGTTGCTTTAATGAACAAAATAACATTTTCTAATTATTAATCCTCATTTTGAGATCTTTCGTTTTAGTCATTATGTGAAGTTTAAAATACAAAGAATGATGTGAGGGCTTTCAAGAAGAAAGTATAGAGATAGCCAGTATGTACATATACTATTTGTAGTTTATGTAATTCAACAAATGTTTCAGGTAGCTGATTGCATATGTTTAATGTCGTTAAATCATCTGGAAGCATTACCAGTTGATACTCACGTGTATCAGATAGCAGCACACAATTACTTACCGCATCTGAGGGGAAAGAAAAATGTTACCGATAAAATGTATACAGAGATTGGTGATTATTTTAGACATCTTTACGGTGACATGGCAGGTTGGGCTCATACGGTAAGTTTTAAAAATAATGTTTATTGAAGCATCAAAAGTCTAGTTATGTGTATATTAATCACATGTTCAAATCCTAACAAATAAAATCGTTGAAATTATTACAAAGTATTAGTAAATTAGACTTAATTTGTGTCTAATTTGAAGATTATAAGTAATTTAATATTAGGCAGAAACATCACTTCTGCTTATCTGGGTTATTTTCTCTTTGTTTCAAAATATAATATATTCAATTATTTGTTTTTTTTTTCAGGTATTATTTTGTGCGGATTTAAAAAAGTTTCAAACTAATGACACATCAGATATAGATAACAGTAAACCAAAGAAGAAAAGAAAAAAATAATACATTTTATTAAGTATTTGTTTAAGCTTTAAGTTAAATATAAAAGTATTAAACATTTCAAGCATTATTATTTGCCCGCATAATTTTTCACACTTAATGTTATAATTATTCTTACAAGAGAAATACGAATCAACGTCAATTCCAAACAAATTGCACGATTTTTTTAACAGAAATCACAATACATAACATGTAAATAATTTAAGCAATACAGGTCGTAAGCTTAAACAGTTTAAAGAACAATATTAAGTAAATTAGCGCTATCGCTTCGACATCAAAGATAATAAAATAATACTTAACTATCGCATATTTTTAATACATTTAAATCAAAAACTAATGTCTTTAAATTATTTCCAAAGTAAATCAATTCTACACGAGAGCAAGATATATAGTTTGCTTTTCACTTATCAGAATTCACACACAAACTCTATGGAAGCCCAATACTGCTAATTGATATAGATAATTAAATTATAGGTACATATATTTTTACTCACTAATAGCTACTTTTGTATTTTAATCTAGTCGTTTGACCAGACTTCGCAGACCCACTGGGGTCTTCCATGGCCCACAGTGTCCTTCGGGACAACTTTGAGAATCACTGGCTTAAAAGATACTTTTGTACATGTCCTTTGACCCGCGCAGGACGCATCGAACGCACGGCTCTCAACGAATTTAAGTTTTAATTTGTATGATTTTACATAGCGCTAAGTCCATTTGCGCCACTTGCATCCCATTAAGACAAAGCAAATCCATTCGAACACAAACTTATATATATATATACGAGAACTACGTATAAAAACATGAGAGTTATAGCCGTTTTTATATAAGTTTACTAAGCAAATCCGTTTAATCCGTGCGTGCGGTGCATCCGGCGCGGGACAACAGACGTGTGTCTTTAAAAAACATTATTATGTTACATTCACACACTAGTACTAAAATTGGCGCCAACTGTCAAACCTTGATCAATACATCGACTTATGTTACTTATTCAGACTTTAAATCTTAAATTATAACGTATACTACAATTACATGAGATATTATTGCTGTCTATTCATTATTATATAAATAATTCAGTGTTATTTATAAATATTAGTATTAAAATTCCAAACCAAAATCTAAATATTGTTAGCATTAAATCGTACAATTTAGGTCTAAAACTCTTAAATTACAAAATATTTCCGAATTTTTTTCTTCTCATAAATACCTTAACTATGATTTTATTTATAGTTTCCATAAAATTAGTTATCCGTTATAAATATAAAATAGTGTAACGGCCGCTGTGTATGGATTTTGAAGTATACAGGATGATGAAATGTACAACGGAGTACCACAACATGACAACAACTTTGGATAGTGGTAAGCTGGGTTAAATCGTCATATTTTCGACCAAGGAATCTATGGTACTCAGTAGTACACTACACAATTGTATAAATCCCTGACACCCTGCATACATTTTAAAAAAATCACTTATTTCCATAGTATATCTGTGGACAATATTCTATTAGGGTCTGCAGAGCTCGTATTTCTGACGCCAAATCAGAAATAGCCTGAGGAGTTGCTACCAAAGTTGGTGCGAAAACTGTACTCAAGTTGTGTGCACTCATTTTGTTCACCTCCGCCAGTTGAGACACGCTGGTAAGAAAAAAATATATAAAGTTTATTTAACAATGTTTCAAACCAACGTGAATTTCCATTGCCGAAACATTGTTTTTGTTTTGTTCGTATTAACAATAACATTTCTCTCGATATTTAAAACAATTTGAAAATTAATTTGACTCCCAATAAGAGGTTTTGAATTCATGTGTGTTTTAAGATTGCAAAAGCTAACTTACCGATGTAAATGTTGCACCATATACTGCAAGCAGTTGAAGTGCGCCGGCGGCAGCAGGTCCAAGCACTCACGTAGCATTGTTACTTGAACACTCGTTGTCTTCATTTCTACAAAACATAATTAAAGATAAAAAAATAATGTGCAAAACCAAAATGTTGTTTTTGTTCCCGATTTTATGTAAGTTATTAGCTTTCGTTCTCGACTCTATCCACGCGGAATTAAAAAAAAATTATTAGTCTATGTGTTCTTCCAGACTATGTTCTATATGTGTGCCAAATTTCATCGAGATCCGTTAAGCCCATCCCATTCATACATTCACATTTATAATATTAGTATGAAGTAAGATTTCAAAATACTGGTAAAAATAATCATAAGCATTAAAATAAAAAATAAAAATAGTAATGAAATGGAAGACACTTACGTATGGCACTTACGAGTTTAGGATGCACCTCGTACGTAATTAGTGGCACAGGAAGTAACCGCAGATATAATTTGAGAGTACCCGCAATCACATTTATATTACTGTAAACACTTAAATCTGTAGCTTCACCATCTGGAGGAAAAAAGTAATTTTGTAACTCAAATCATTAATTCACGGACTTTAATTTTGATAATCTCATACTAAAACACTTTAATGTAGTAAAGAATAAAAAATTTAAAACACGAAAATGACCATAGACATCGAATTTAAATGATTGTAGATGCATTGTCTGCTATTAATCAATTTCATTCCAAAATAAATACTTAAGTTAATTTTTTATATTTAAATCTAGTATTTCTTTGAATAAAACACAAACATACCCTTATCGAAGGCCATTTTCAATGCTTCAATTTCATCAGCGAATCCGGACACACGGTAAATACCCTCAGAATCCATGCCCCGAGCTTCTATTTCATTCACACACTTCTTAACAACAAATGGTAATGTACTGGAGTGGGCATTCAATAATGTAGTCAAATCAATCCCGAATACACCACGGAGTTTCTTCAAATCCGGCAGACAATGGTTGGGAACTCTCTCAGAACATTTTGAGTGTGCTATGAAGCCACAATCTAAAATCATAAGTTTTTTTTTAATTTAAAATATCCTATGCTACCAAGATTTTTTTTTCTATAATAAAGAAGTCACTAGGCAAGAAAGTGGCACTGAAATTTTTAATGTAGTCAAGCTATTTCAAGAATATATTTTTTTTCCTTAAATCCACTAAAGTAAAATTTGCTATATTATAATAACATTTTCAGCGTCTAAATTTTTAGATATTAATATCAACTACTAGGACAAGTAATTAAACATTTAATATTTATAACTTTTCATAAATACCTTCACATTTCACACCCTGTGCAGTAAATCCCCATAGGAAATTAGCACACAGTTCACACCAATTAAGACCTTTAAATGTATGAACTTTGAATGTGTGCGCCTTTGAGTATTTGTACAATAATGGAATATCCTCTATAGTTGGTGTCAGATCATAGTTCATCTTTTTCACAGTTACATCTGACTGTGTTGTTTCTAATCTATTAATGATCGGACTTGATCTGTTTGATGCCCTAAATAAAACCAAAATTTGCATGTGTGACAACAATTAATAATAATATGTCAATTGAAATAGAAAGGTATAGATAGATATATAGATTCAATAAAGTGTTATCTTACTAATATTAAAAATGCAAATGTTTGGATGAATGTGTGCTAGAAGATATCCCCAGAACAGCTACATGAATATCGCTGAAATTTGGTAAACATGTAGAACATAGCCTGGAGAAATATATACAGAGTTGCAGGCAACAGCTAGTAGCCTATAAGTGCCAAACTGTTATGGTCAAAAATTACCATAAGATCCTTGTAGGACTATATTTGTTGCTTTACATATGATTTTTTATTCCTAACTAAGCTAACAGTATCCTTCACACCAAGCCTAATAATGTTTAATGCTGATGCATAGTTGAAATTGAATCTTAACCAACTCTCTAATACTCACTTATGCATCTGTGATAATGTATTCATCTTACGTCTATTAAGTGTGACATAAGGACTATCAGTATAACTTGTTCTAGAATTTATCATTTCAAGGATATGATGAGCCTTAATTTCCATATGACATGTGATCAAGCCATCGGCTACCAGGTCATATATTGTGTCATATCTTTTATCTTTAATGTAATGTGTGCCATCATAGTAAAGCTTGTAGTGATGTATTTTATCATTAAATCTGCAATAAAATTTAGGCTTAGGTTATTGATTATAAAAAAATCTACTGTTCTGACATGATAGATGATTTGCTATATTACTATTTAATAGTATAATAGTTTTATATTTTAATTATTTTTATAAAGTTTAAGTCTATACTCAACTTTAACTTAATAACTACTTATTTGCTGTAAAAATTTAGTGTATTTTACTTGAATTAGTCTTTATCTTCCTTTTTATTAATATAATAAATATGAAAGTTTAGATGGATGGATGTTTGTTTGAAGGTATCTCTGGAACGGCTGAAATTTGGCACACATGTAGAGCATAGTCTGGAAGAACACACAGGCTACTTATTACGCTTTATTTTATTCCACGCGCACGGACGTCGCGGGCGACAGCTAGTTATTTATAATTAAATCATACAAACCTCCATGTCAAAGTAAAAAAGTCATTGTGCTGATTGCCTTTTCTAATTAAGAATGCTCCGTTGGACTCATTCTCGAGTAAAAGCGATGCCTCTTTATGACCCATAATACCATGATACTCTTTACCATAAAATTCTGGACGGTCTGGACAATTTTCACAAATTAGACGTTTAGGCGTTGGTGCTTCTAATTGAATACGATATACTGGAAATAAATAGTAAATATTTCACTTAAGTACTTGCTTAAGTGGCCACAGAATTGTCAGATACTTTCAGTTACTTACATTCTGGTTTCCAAATATTTTTCAGATTCTCCATTTTAATTAATTTATATGTTTAAGTTATAAATAAATCGATATTATAAAAACTGATTGGCACAAATTTCACACATATATTTCAAAAATTCAATCAATTTCAACT